TTTTTTTTTTTGTCGGTCATGGGTCTTGAGCTCTGGGCTTAGGCAATGTCCCTCAGCTCTTCAGCTCAAGGCAAGCGCTCTACCACTTGAGCCACAGCGCCACTTCCAGCTTTCTGAGTGGTTTATTGGAGATTAAGCGTTTCATGGACTTTCCTGCTTAGGCTGGCTTTGAACCCTGATCCTAAGATCTCAGCCTCCTGAGTAGCTAGGCTGACAGGCGTGAGCCACCAGCGCCCAGCTCCTAATCCACTTTTCAGATTGTCCCTAAATCTAAAAGTCTTCTTCGTCCAATCTTAATTGACACAGTGGCCACGATGTTAAGAAGCTCATCAAACCCGGAGCTCCACACAGAGGCAATGCCTCCAATCCAGCTGCATGCCCTCTGCCCATCCATCCGGGCTGCTGGACCCTCTTCTGAGGGGACCGCAGCAGCGCCATTCCACAGCCCTCCTCTCTGCAGCTGCCTGGATTTCTTTTCTTTTTTCTTTTCCTTTTGTCGGCTTGTACTCAGGGCCTGGGCACTGTCCCTGAGCTCTTTTGCTCAAGGCTATCGCTCTACCACTTGAGCCACAGCCAATTTTTGAGTGGTTCATTGGAGATAAGTCTCTCACAGGGACTTTTCTGCCTGGGTAGGCCTTGAACCGTGATCCTCAGATCTCAGGCTCCTGAGTAGCTAGGAGGACAGGCCTGAGCCACCAGCACCAGGCCAGTATTTCTCTGCCCTTCAAGTTGTGTCTTTTTCCTTCTTTATGTTCTTTCTCCCACTCGGTCAGTCTACCACCGAGCTCCCCACATAGCTAGGATAAATGGCAGGGAGGCAAGCACATCTTTCTCCCAGCCTCTAAGTCCTGCTTAGCTGAGCAACAGCCCTTCAGTCCTCCATATCACAGTTTCCCCCCATGTTTTCATCTCTGGCTGGGTGGGAGAGCAGCCCCTGGGCAGCCAGAATTGGGTGGAATGAAGCCCAGTGAGGAAGCAGATTAATCTCCCCCCACAGACAGGTTCTAGAACTTACTGCAGGTCAGCCTCCGGGTCTGGGTAAGGCCTGTATTTCTTATCTTTCTAAAACCTGCACAAGAACTCTTGGGTGGGAAATCCTCTTCTATCTATGTTATTCTCTCTCCTGTGTGGCCCTGGCAGGGACAGAAAACTGTACTGTTTTCTTTGTTCCCAACTCTGTAGACCTGTTAGTGTCTGCCGTAATCCATTCAGGATTTGGGTTTTTTTCTTTTGTTTGTTTTTGTCTTCCGACACAAGATCTCCCGGTTGTAGCCTAGACTGGGCTCAAATGCTCATTCTTGGACTGAGCTGTTCATTTCCCTAAATGAATCCCGGCGCCCAAAACATTTGTTTTTCTTTCAAAGAGAAGCTTAAAGACTGTACAAATAGCCAGGAGAATGTGGCTCATGCCTGTAATCCCAGATATTCAAGAAGCTGAAATATGAGGATTGAAATTCACAACCAGCCCAGGCAGGAAACTCTGAGGCTCAAAAAAAAAAAAAAAAAGCCAGAAGTGGAGCTTCGGCTTAAGAGGTAGAGCGCCACCCTTGAGTGAAAAAGGTAAGGGACAGGGCCCGGAACCTGAATTTAAGACTGACAGCTGACAAAAAAGAAGAAAAAGGAGAAGAAAAAGCAGAACTTTGGGTGACAAATCACTATACCAGCACCCCAGGCCGCCAGGAACTCTTGATCTTGTCTTATTCTTGTTTTGTTTGTTGGGGGCTCAGAGTGGCTTTACCACATTTGAAATAACCATCCATTCATTTCACAAGGGGGGGGTTCCATTATGATGCATCCTTTATACACAGCACACATGAGACTCACCAGCCTCTCCCTTAAAACCAATCTCAACAGCAGGGCGCCGGTAGCTCATGCCTATCACCTAGCTACTCAGGAGGCTGAAATCTGAGGATCACGGCTGGAAGCCAGCCCAGGCAGAAAACTCTATGAGACTCTTCTTAACCAATTTAGCACCCCCCCCCAAAAAAAAAGCCAGAAGTGGGTCTATGTCTCAAGTGGTAGAGTACCCTTGAGTGACAAAGTTCCAGGCCAGTACCCAGGCTGAGTTTAAGCCACACGACCACCACCAACAAAAAATTTTCAACAAACTTCATTGCTCCATTTTTTACACCTGGACATATTTGGGTCATATTCACCCTCTTCTTCTTTTTGTTTGCCCCTGAGTGCCGGGATTCTAGGCATGTGCTACCATATCCAGCTTAACTCTACGGTGTTATGTTTTGAGATGAAGGTCGATGTTGTCCAAGCCCGTCTTGGGGTCTCAGACTCACTTGATCCCCCAGCTCCAGCCGTCCCAGGTAGCTGGGACTATGGCTTTCCCCTACCACTCCCAGCTCCCTTTGGAGCTATACATGGATTGGTGTCCCCAACCCCCACCCATCAGCCTGGATGGCAAAGTCATCAGGTACGGGATGGGACTCAGGGACTCTACCTCTCCTCCAAAATCCAATTCCCGGAAAGAGACAGCGGTGGCTGGAGGGCAGGGAGGGGGGTGTGTCCAGCCCTCCTCCACTCAGGGTGAGCAGCCCGAGCAGCCCTGGGTGTATAAAAGACGGACAGAAGCCGCAGTTAGGTCCTTTCCGCCTGCCCTGGAGGACGACCTAAGGATCCTAGGTGAGTCTTTGCCTCCTTCTACCCCTTGGCCTCTCCTTGGATTTGCTTTTCCCTTTTCTCAGCTCTCCAATACTCCCCCAGAGAGGCGCGCACCAGGCCCTCTTGTTATCTGAGCTCTTGCCCTTTGAGCCTGGCTTAGCTGAGCTACACCCCCTACCCACGTGCTTTGTCTGCCCCAGCCACAGGTCCACGAGGTCAGCTTCCCGCATCAGGACAACACCCAGCCCGGCCCGAAGTCTGGTATCAGAGTGTGTTTTATTTTGTGGGTGAGTATGTTCAAATCCCGGGGCTTGAACTCAGGTCCTGAGCACCGAAGGCTGGGGCTCTACCACTTGAGCCACAGCTCCACATAGCAGCTCTTTGGTGCCTCGCCCATGCTTTCCTGCGCAGGCTGGCTTTGAACTGCAGTCCTCAGATATCAGTCTCCTGAGTAGCTGGGATTTTACAGGCATGATACAGAGAGCTGGGAGGGGTAGACCCTCTTGGCGCTCACGTTACTGCCCCTGCTCCTCCGTGAAGATGAAGTCTGGTGTCTC